CTTTGCTGCCAAGCAAGAAATCTTCCTTAGCACGTCACTCCATCCACTTAAGCTTTGCCACGTCATCTCACGACTCCATGTCAGCAACTTCAAGTGTCTGATGTGATCCCAGGCGTCTGATGTGATATCAGGCGTCTGAACGGATGCAGCTTCCTGATCTTCACAGCAAGCTGTTCTGGAACTGCATCTTCAATCTCCCCCTTTTTGACTTAGTTTGATAATCAAGCATCCTTTGTGATAAACCTGAAAGTCACAGAGAGACAAAACCAAAACACAGCAACAAGGCAAACATCTAGTAATATAACTAGCATAAATCCCAAAAATTAGAAATCCTAAAATGCCATGTTTAAACACATTACAGACCCAAAAGCTAAAAGCTAACGAAACAAGATTCTGTAATCAAAATACATTGTTGCTAACAACCAAAAACAAACAGCAACAACAGCAACTGCTCCCCCAGGACAAATGCTCCCCCACAAATCAACCAGTCCTATGATCATCAGAATCAGAATCATCTCCCCCTGCTTGTTTGCACAACTAAGTCAAAAACAAGTAACTTATGGATCACATGAATGACAGATTGAAAGAAGAAACACTTACCTGCATCGATGATACGCTGCAAGATCTGAATTGCACGACGCAAAGCCTTGTGATCATCTGAAGAGCACACTGGAACCTCAGCAGTCTGTCCTCTCTTCGCTTTGCCCTTCTTGTTGGACTTTGGCACTGGCTGAGATACATCCGGATGCACAGGGTGCTGTGACTGGATCAGCTGATAAATCAAACTGGGAAACGGCAGGCACAACTTTGAGACAAGGGTCAGACCCATGTTGATGATCAGCTTAAAGACCATCCTCCCAAAATCAAACGGCTTCTGATGCATCACCTTGTAGACCAATTTGGCTCTGTCAGGAGTGACATACCCATCATTGGTGGTAGGCAGCCAGTTGGTACAACAGATCTTGAGAAGATCTTTCGTGTTGTTGTCCTCAACCTTAGACAATTGGAACTGCTTGAAGACCTTGGCTTTACCTCCAGACACAAAGAGAGCTATGTCTGAGGTAATCACTTCAGCCATATGCCGTTGTTCTGTGCGCTCATCCACAGCCGGCAGTCCAAACAACGCATTAATCCTGTCAGGACTAAATTCATACACCCAATTCCGGACCAGCACATCTGCGGAATCTGTCTCTGGCTCAACAGTTGGCAGATTCGCCCAAAATTCATACACAACTTGAGGATCAAAAGGCTTGCTCTCAGAAACAGTTCTAAGTAACCTCGCAGCATCTATCAGATCCCTAACCTCATCAATTTCACCAAAGGTGATGTTCAACTCAGCATGCAATTTTCGGGAATTGAAAGAACCGTACCTCTGAAACGCAACAGCAGACCCGAACCGAGTTTGATCAAACTTCAATGAATGCTCGTCTTTGACAGCCGCTCCTTTTCCTCGGGTCGCCTGTCGTTTCTTCTTCTGCTCAGAAGGCATCGCAGTCGACTTCTTGCGTTTCATCATCCGGGACGAAATATATGGTCCCGTAGTTCCGGTTAGTTGAATCGAGTCGGAATCATCCGAGAGCTCTTCAATCTGCGGGTTGCGAATCGGTTCATTCGCATCAGTCGGCTGTGAAACCCGAGGGTGAGCTGAAGAGTCGCAATCCCCATCAATATCCACCGGAGAATTGGGAATGGCAAGCGGCTCTACTTCTTGGGTCTCCGATTCAGGGAAGACCACTGTATACGGAACCAGCTGGGTATTCGGCGTAGGCGACTCAGATCTCTGCGGATCGGCGACTTGATCTTCTTTCGGCGGCGACGGTTGTTCCGGCAGAGGTGTATCGGCCTCTGGCGACTGACTCGACACGAGCTTCTGGATGCCACTGAAGATGGACCTCATGATTCCGATCAAGCTTAGCTTAGGGTTTTGAAATCGTGGACTTGAGAGAGAAAAGAACAATGAGCAATCTCGAAACTTTTCAACTTCCACGACTAGGTTTTACCCTAGCTTTTCCCTCCTAAATACGCTTCACAACATCATGGGCTTTAAAACAAATGGGCCTCACCTGAAATAACTTTGGTAACCCACGAACCTGAAACACTCAATAAACCCATTAGTGCACACTTATCAACCAAGCCTCAAATCCGATTTTCAACCCATTTTTTTTTACATTCTTGAGTTCAAAACAGAACCTCAAATAACTTTCTTTTTGTAAGACTCAATTTACTCATGAACATGCTTTAGGGACCCAGAATGATAATTAACATGTGAGTAATTGGAAGTATTATCATAAAATCATTCAAAAAAAAACATGTACCTTGAGTCTCTCTCTCGTCTGTGTTCTGTGCCAACCATTTGTTCAGGACAGAGCTAGAACCTACCACAACCTTCTGAATCTTTGACAGATCAGCTCTGAGTTCAGTGGCTAGTCTTTCACTCTGGCATACCTTCAACTCAAGCTTCCAAACCCAACATGAACAGACAGCTGGAATACCCTTTGGAGAGTGCAGGACCAGGAGTGTGTTAAACCCTTTTTTTTCTATATAACACACTACCTGTGGAGCTATGATTTAACAGTCAAGCAGAGCCTTTTCTCAGAATGTTGTTTTTTGACCAAGCCTCTGTTAAACCTTCTGATTTGTGGATCAGTGATATCACTTGACTTCTCAACCACTGATCCTTGTGCATGTCTTCATTAGCATATTCAGAGCTCCATTAATAGAGTATTGGAATTGACTTATTGATGTATCACAATTCCAAGTACATCTCGTGACATGCACACTTCCACCTCTCCTCAGCTCTTTGACCTCCGTTATCACGACAACGTTTTACAGGAATGTCCACAAGAGTTGGCATGACAGGCAGCTATTTTCCACTCTCTTTAAACCGAAGTACAGGGTGCTGATCTTC